AAAGTTACACAAAGGTAAATCTGATTAGACCCAGTATGATATATTAAAGTTGCACAAAGGTAGATCTGATTAGAACCAGTATGATATATTAAAGTTGCACAAAGGTAGATACAATTAGAACCAGTATGATATATTAAAGTTGCACAAAGGTAGATACAATTAGAACCAGTATGATATATTAAAGTTGCACAAAGGTAGATACTAAATTTTATATCTTTACCTATGGGTCTGATTTCAATCAGAATACCCCTTACATAATTATTGCAAAGATAGCCTAAGGCCTGATACACCTATAGTTGTCGCCAGTCCAGATACTCTTTGTTTTCTCAAAAGACTCATAATAAAAGCAATAAATATCACTTGGAACTTAGAGTGTCTCCTTCCTTACACTTGTTGCCAAAGTCAAATCCTTTCTGAACCTTTTGTTTGGCTGGTCAACTTGTAAGCATTTTAATTGTCGCCTAACAATAAATGCCATTTTGCCGTCTAGAGTATCACAATATTAATTACGACTTACAAGCATCATAAGGTAAGTAGCAGTTATAGGAAATTAAAATTTATGATGTTTCATTCGTTCAAATTTTATTGTATCTTCAGAGCAACGGTGATAGAGAACCAGAAGAAGTGGTATATGGACGACGGCGGATTGACACATGTTCTTTGTGAGGAAAGTAAGTATGTTCTTAAACTAAATATATATATATATATAAAGAATTACTAATGATGAAAAGAGGGAAAAAAGAAACATTACAACTGTTATTCTAAGATAACTCTAATGTTAATTACTTTGAAAATAACATATAAAAATATATTTAATATAGCAGTAACTTTTGTTATCTTCTGAGATTCTTCCAAGACATGTTTTATCTGAATTTTTTAAGTTTTTAATGAAAGTAGAATAAATCAGACGGCACTGAAGTTATACTTTTCCTTTCGTTTTCTAAACAAACAATAAAAAATATCGTAATAATTATACAAACTTTTCTGATTTTACTGATTGTAATAGCAAATAAAATAAAAACGTAATCGATCAAATGTTCGAAATGCGAACTTTATATTTAAAAATTTCCAGTTATAATGTGCAACCTTGACTCTAAAGTATTTTAATGATTTTAGTAAGAATAACTTATAAAGCTGGAGTAAATAGAAGTATAGGGGTATTTACGTATTGTGACAACTGCTTAAAGTAAAATATTATGTTGTTTGAATGTTCAGTGGCGTAGGGAGCAGGGAGCTCCCACTTTTCAATCTGTTCTAGTAAAAATGCATCAAAATTAGGAAGATTACTCTCAGGAATAGCAGGAAAATGCGTACAATTTAATCCAGATTCCCAAACCTGGAGCCGCAAACCCCTGGGGGACCACAGAAAAGTTTGTGTGGATCGTAGCACATACACTAAACACACAATGCTGTTAAAGTGCTTATTATCTATAGAATCGTTGGGTGGGGCCTCAGATAAGGATGTAGAATATTCTGGTAGACCTGTGCTGAGAAAGTTTGAAAACCCATGATATAGATGGCCACTTAGACACAAATACACATAGGCAAAAGAAAAACGAAAACAGGACAATAGTCAAAAGCAATTATAGTACATGTCATAGGCAAAGAGGCAATAGAAATATAGGCGAGACTGAAATCGTTTAATGTGTACTGTGGGCAAACAAAAGAGCTTAAAAAACTGAAAAAAGACACACACTAGTATAGGGAACATGCAGTGGCGTTAACTGCTGAGTGTTGTTTAGCAGTACAAATTGTTTCGGTACATTTTACATGTGTTGACTTCTCTAGAAATACAGTAACCCAGTTCGTATTCAGATTTTATCATGTACTGACTTGATTTTTTAATGGTCCCTTCAATTTTTTTTATCTTTTTCCTTATAACTGGCTAAAAATCGGTTTCCAGTACCAGTGGTGGACTCAGCACAGGCAGCCCGCTTTGTGTTTAACAAGAACAAATAACTTATAACTATACAACATTGTTTTTTTTGGGGGGGGGGGTGGAGAATTGAATGATATATAAACGAGAAAGCTGTTCAGATGTTGAAAACTGAAGAAACAGAAATAAAAAGCAGTTCGTTTTGGTGTATTCGGGTTCATTATGATAAAGTTGTAGATACATTATCAAACATCTGTTACCTACAGAAGACAGCTCTACAAAGTCAAGTAAAGTATATTTTGTTACGTGAGGTTCATTGTGTACACAACATACACCTGTCAGTAGGTACAAAATGACACCAGAGAATAAAATGGTGTGATTATCAGAGACAAAACGTTAAAGAACAAACTTTATGAGCTTGACTAGAGGTCAGGAGACCAACTTCAGATCCACAGTTTTTGATGAGATCACCAGAAGTTTCAGCAATGTTGCTTAATGTCTTTTCTTTTCACAAAGAGGTGATGGTCCACACCTCTGATGAGGTAACCAGTTTATTTATGGTTCAACCATAACGTACAGAGAAAAGAAAACAGTAAGAATGGATGTAAAAGGAAGACTGGTTGCTCGACGATATAACGTCGTGGTATTACGCTTAATTGTATAACCTCTTGTAGGTACAATTGAACTACCTTTCTTCAGATACTTGAGAACGCCCAGTATAATAGTACCATGATTAAGATGGACTGCCTTGCACAAGAAACTATAGAAGTAATAGATGGAAAACTAGATGATAGTACACCAACGCATCAACCTATATAACACTATGTTAGATAACTTGACGTTGCACTGACTAAAGAATGGGACAGGACCTCCCATTGTGTCATCTACCGATTAATCAGAAGTTATGTCTTACATGTGCAAAACTCTTATCAACGCCAAGGGAACTCATATTTGGTATCAAATATATTTTCTTTTTGAAAACACGACTTTTTTTATATAATTTGATTCAGTCAGAAGTTGAAGGTACATACAGAGACATTTCAAAAGTAACTAGACACCATTATTTTTTTTCAATAGTCATTTATCCCACATTATGAACTTGACAAAAATGTATACAAATGTGCATCAGTATTTGTCGATCTGCCACTAGCATTTTTCAGTACTTTGACTTGTTCTGGCATGGAATCGATGAGTCATTTTTCAGTGCTTTGACTCGTTCTGGCATGGAATCGGTGAGTCATTTTTCAGTACTTTGACTTGTTCTGGCATGGAATCGATGAGTCATTTTTCAGTGCTTTGACTCGTTCTGGCATGGAATCGGTGAGTCATTTTTCAGTGCTTTGACTCGTTCTGGCATGGAATCGACGAGTTCTGCAATTTTTCTCCTGTAGGATCTTGACCCACGCTGCACGCAAAACATCAAGTGGCTCTCCAGGGGACGCTGGTTTTCTAGAACTTCTTCTCACTGCTCGAGCAGGTATGGCCCAGACATGCTCCATGGGGTTCATATCAGGTGACTGACTTGGCCATGGGAGCCGTTGGATGCCTTTCTTATTTAAATGACTATTGAATAAACACCATGGTGTCTATTTACTTTTGAGGTGTCTCTGTATATTATCAGTGTATTGCCAATGAAACTAATTCAGAAACTCGACAAAAAAAAATCAGGAGCTACTTGCAGTTATATGACTTATCCAAGCATTCAATCCTGAGATCCCAATTTAAAACTGGGCTGAACTTTTACATTAAAATAATTCATTAATACGTAATTGTCACGCAGTTTTAGCCATACTTCCTCTATTAGATGATTCACTATGACTGGAATTATGCTTCTTTTCAGGTGATGATCAATAATTGCAGAAGTGTTAGTTTTCTTGAGATTAATCCCACAGAAGTGTTAGTTTTCCTGAGATTAATCCCACAGAAGTGTTAGTTTTCCCGAGATTAATCCCCTTAGTTTACGAAAGACAGGAGAAATTGCAGTTTATTTATGTTGCAGAGGTGAAACTTCTCATGAAGCTGAAGAAGCCAATGAGGAAGTTGCAGATTCTGTCGCAGTTTTACACTTGTACGTGATGTCAGAAGGTGATTCTGAGCAGGACTGTCTTTGTCCTTTTCTCTAGCTGGAAAAGCAGCTCCTTGTCACGCTCCGTAGTACTGTGATGGAGAAGGGTAAACTTCTCCTTTCTGTCACCCGTCAAGGTTTCCACTGACTTGGATCAGTTCAAAAAGCTTTTATGCATATTTTGCATGTAACCTTGAAAAGTATATCCGGCCGTTCAGCCGGTCTTCTTCCATTTGCTAGTTCTCCATACAACATATCCTTAAGAATTGAGGAGTGCTGTTATGCTTGGTAGTCCTGCTCTTTGAAGGACCTCTACTCTTGTGTTTTTATTTTGCTAATTGATATTCATAATGCGGCATAGGCAGCATAGGTGGAAACTGTTCATCTTGTCCACTTAATGCGCGTATGTTTTCCATGTTTTACTGTTGTACCTGAGGATTCTGAGCACACAGGCTTTATATACAAACATCTTGGTTTGGTGGTGAGCTTTGAGTTGTTCCAGGCTCATTTTGTTAGTCTATTGAAGTTGGTAGCAGTTTGTCCAGTGCTCATGTTTAGTTCATCTTCGAGTGAAAGATTATCACTCACAGTTAACCCAAGGTAGTTGAATTTCTTTACTACATCCAGAATTGACTTCGTCTAGATATTCTATGTCCTGTGCTACTATTTCCTCTATTATCAATCTTACTCAGTCTGATGGTCATGATTATGTACACCTTGCATTGTAACAAGTTCCTGAAGAGGCCAACAAGTTCAGTTTCAACTACAAGACTACTCATATAACCTGACAAATGCTTTCGCAGATAATTTAAAATATGAGATTATTGGCTTCCAAGATCAATTTAGGCAAACCAAAAAATACAAATATATTGAAACTCTACTGCGGAACTTAACAGGTATATGTTCAATTAGGATTGTGATAATTCCAATTTCTTAGCCATCTTTCTGGAGAAAACAAGCACACATATCACACACACACACATATATACATATATATATAGCACTGATGTTATGGGGTTACAAAATAAATAACTCAACCTAACGCCATCTTAAGCATAGAAAAATAATTCCATTTCATTCACGATATACAATCCAAAACAGAAACACAAGTGGAAAAGAAGGACCATGCATCTTTTCTTTGCCAGTGACAGCTGCGGCCATTCATGTCCACAGCTAGTCTCATTGCAATGTGTAACTGACCTGACAGACATCATTGCTTCATCTGCTTCAAGTGATCACAGTTAGGTTAACTCAAGGAATACGAGTTCTATCTTCTTGTATAGTATGGGGCTGGCAACCACAAAATACTAACTTGGCCATCACTAACACCCAATACGCCAGTAAGAAGAGTTAGTTCATTCACCTACAGCTAAGTTTACAAGTGGGCATTTGTAGACTCTCTTAAATACAATACAAGGAATGAGGAAACTTGTGAAAAGGTTTGTGCATCGTCTATAGAAGGATAAGTTCAAGCTCAGACATAGTTTTTGTTACAAGAGTGATAGATGTGGAAAACAGATAATATTATGAAGAAAATGAAGTATCACAACATACTCCTTCATCAATAATTTGGGACGACGTTTGAAAATTATAGTTCTGGGAAGAAAGTTTCGAAAGAGAAGTCAATTAGTCTACGCTAACACTGAATGATTGCACAGTAGAAATGGAAGTAACTACTAGTTCATAGCCTAAAAAGATGACAGTTAAGACTAAAGGAGCGCCTATTAAATACTGATTACTTAATTTATGCTCCAAAACAAACGTCTTATGCCCAATACTGTAATTATAAATATTATATGCAAACCATAAACAAGAATTTTGTCATATCCTTGAAAACTTGAGTGTAGGTAATCTGAGCTCAGACGTTTACACGTACTTTACAAGGTAATCTGAGCTCTGACGTTTATACGTACTTTACAAGGTACTCTGAGCCCAGACGTTTATACGTACTTTACAAGGTACTCTGAGCTCAGACGTTTATACGTACTTTACAAGGTACTCTGAGCTCAGACGTTTATACGTACTTTACAAGGTAATCTGAGCTCAGACGTTTATACGTACTTTACAAGGTACTCTGAGCTCAGACGTTTATACGTACTTTACAAGGTACTCTGAGCTCAGACGTTTATACGTGAAATGTCTTAACTATAA